AAAGAAAGAAAGAAAGAAAGAAAGAAAGAAAGAAAGGAAGAAATGGCTAAAAGAAACCTTTTTTCTTATCAAGTTCTTACTGTTGTTACCTTTAAATGAAAAAAAAAGTCAACAAAAAGCATTTTACCTGTGCAAAACAAAAAAATTACTATATGACATACATACATACATACATACATACATACATACATACATACATACATTTAGACTTAAGAAAAAGCCTCTAAATGTCTGAAGTGAAGAAGAAAGTTTCCAAACATTCTTGAGGAAAAAACATATCCCATGTCACAAAATGTTCAGATTTCTACAAATTTTAGGGTCAATTTTACATTTAAAAAGTTTTATAATGTAAGAAATAAACTTGTCTAGTTACAAAATGAACTTGAGAAAATCATAAGAGAAGGCTGGGCATGTTGTGCACACCTGTAGTTCCAGCACTTTTGGCAAGGGGAAGCAGGAGGATCATTAGTTCGAGGCCAGCCTGAGCTACAAGAAATACTCTCCCATAAAACCAAAAGAAGCGTTTCCTCCCAACTCATTGCAGATGCCTTGGCCCATGACAACAGCTCTCCCAGCCCTGGCCTGTCCCACTCACTCTTCGTGGGGAGGGAACCCAGTGTACATCCTGAGTGGCTCACAGAGCTAAGCTGGTGGTGTCTGAGGTGCCCGGGCAGGGTCTGGAGGCCAGGGCAACTCTAGCTGAGGTGCGGACATTTGTGCCATGAACAGAACAACGGTAATGAGACCAAGCCAGGATCTGAGCTCATCAGTATTGAGTTAGAATATTATCTTTTTCCTCAGGTCACCATCGTCCCCACTGCGTGGGAAAAGCCACCCATGGGGAGCAGTGGTTGCATGCTCAGCCATTCCCCAGAAAGAACAACCAAGGGCAGTTTTCAGGGTCCCCTCCCAGATGTCTCTGGGAGCACACCTGAGACAAAGCAGCCCAAGACTCCAGATGCTGAGACCTCTGAACAGCCTGGTAGCCATGAAAAGCCTGGGACCACTAGCCAGGGAGCAGAGCCTGTCTGTGTGAGGCATTTCCACCGTCGCCATGTCTACCAGCAACAGCTGATTGAGAGGCAAAAGAAGAAACTCGAGGAACAGCAGAAAACCATTCAAAAGCTGAAGGAAAACCAGCAGTTGGCGGAGGCCCGGTGGGCAGCTGAGCGCGCAGCAGCGGTCACAGAAGCACAGAGTCACCTCCTGTCCAATCCCAGGGGAGCAGAGGAACCACGGGGAAGCTGCCAGAGGCCTCTGCAGTATGTCAGCAGCGGCAGGGCACTCCGTGAACGGGTTTGGAGGGGGTTCACCTTTAAGAACGAGGCTGCTGAGTCTCTTGGCTCGGCTTCTCCACTCCGTGGGCTTTATGTGCGCTGTACACTCACAAAGGCAAGGCGCCCCGTGTATTCTGACTTGCCCAGAGAGCTGTACATAGATATTTAAAGCGAATGGCCGCCTAGATGGACACCATTATATAGTGAGCACTGGGTGGTAGCTGCCTTTGTGAGAGGAACTTGGTCATTGTGTAGGGAAAGAGAAAAATGCATGTTCTGATTAGATTTCCGAGCTTCTGATTATGTTTAATGCTGAGAAGCCAGGGTGGACAACGTGGACCCCGTGGACCAGGTCATTACCTCACTTGTTGTTTGAAGTAAAATTATGTACCTTCAGGCTTGGAATAGGAGTTCTAGATTCCCCCAAAGTCTCTTAAGACAGTTTCAGATGTGACTGAGACATACTTGGTGTGTGATGAAGGTTTAGGAGAACTGATCAGAAGACGAGGTGGGGTCTTCCTTATGCCATCTTTAGTGTGGGGATAACAGTTCATCATCGCAGTTAAATTGAAGGAAGCTAATTATTGATTTAAACTGTTTTTCTTTTCTTTGTCTCTTCATTTTCTTCTAGTTCATCTGTTCTCTCCTCAAGGTGTGAAGATAGTAGAACCGAGTCCAGAAATTCTCTTTCTGCATCCAAAAGGAACCCGACAGCACCCCATCCCTTATTGAAAGGCAAGGCTGTCCTGATGGCCTTCATGCTGGCTGGAGGGGCATTTGTCTGGGACTGCCTGCTTACAGCTCTCAGGCTTTGAGATGTGGTAAAGCCTGGTGAAAATCTAAGATTTGTCACACGGGAGGAACGGAACGCACAGGGGTCCTCCACGACTCTCTTTCCTTCCCTTTTCCAGCCCTTATGCATTCGCAACTAATGCACACGCACGCGCACACGCACACGCGCACACACACACACACACACGCACACACACACACAGAGTTATGAAAGGTGCATCAATTGTGGGGCAGGATTGGGGGGGACTACACAATTGAAAAGCTTGAGTCGTGGCTAAGGCTGAACATTGATGAAGTTCATCTGCCATTGTACTCCATCCCTGCCCAAATACTGAGGCGTTCAGAGCAATTCAGGTCAAGTTCGTCTGTCATTTTGTGATGCATTATCTTAAGAGTAGCATTTTGGTAATGAGATGTACAACCAGATAGTTTAGTTGGATAGCATTTTAGATGCACATGGAACTGTTTATTTAAAAACTAAATAATGCTTTGAGAGTAGAGGCATTCCTCAGGGCCCACCTAGTAATTCTACTAATTGATTTTATCACATAGCTGCTCTGCTCACGTGGGGAGTATTTTGTCAATTACACTGAGTTTTGTAAATCTGAGTTTTGTTCTGTTTTTAAGCTGTGGCAAAATTGCTACCCTAGCAAGAAGTAATGACATGTGAAGACATTGTAGTCGGTGCCTGTCCATGAAGAGATCGGGTGGCTCTCTGTCAGCCGTCTGGCAGGACAGCAGCTGATGCTGCCTTTGCCCACTGATCAGGAAATGTCCCATTCATTGTGATAAGTTTTTGAAATTATTGTTTGATCAATGACTTAGCTATTTTAGAGTCCCGGTCTATTTTTCAAGTAGACTTTAATGATTCAATCTAGAAGAGATGGAGAGCCGTACTGCTGAGATGGCTTCTCTGCTCCTTCCTCTAATCCTCTAGTCTATTTCTGCCTCCTTAAGGACAGTCTCCTCTGCCATCTGTGCCACCACCACTAATCTTCTGTGGCAAAGCAGACACTTAATATCCGTAAGAAATAGCTTGGTGAGTTTTTGTTTATTAATTCTTAAAACTTGGACTGAAGTATTTTTCTCTGTAACACGGCCCAAGGAACTGAAAGTCACCATTGGCTGGCTTCGTGAGCAGAACTCGGTGCTCCTGCTGCCCATGCCCCCTTCCTGTGCCAGCCCTGACTGATTACAGTCATATTATCAGACCATCTTGCACATTTGTTTCTTTTGGATCGATATTTAATAAACTGTCAAGAACAGGAGTCTGACACTCAAATTCGTTCTGATGCCAGTTCTCCAAATGCCTGGTTCACTTCCATTTCCTGCCCATCTGGGTGCCTGGGTCTTAAAACTACACTGAAATGTAGTCACCGTGACCCCAACTTTAGATTTTTCTTATTGCTCTACAGACACATGGACAGTGACTTCAGAAAAATCCGTAGCCTCACTTAAAGTGAGATTGAAGGAATTTTTCTACTCTTCAAGTACTTGTTAGCTGTAGTTACATTTTTCTGTGTTCATCAACAATGTATTAAAATTCTGACTTCTGAGTTTCATATACTAAAAGTCCACCATCCAAGAACATTGTCTTATTTAAACCCAATAGAAATATATTATGAAGACATATAAACAGGGCTGGAGAGATGGCTCAGGGGTTAAGATCACCAACTGCTCTTCCAGAGGACCTGGGTTCAATTCCCAGTACCTACATGGCAGCTCACAACTGTATGAAATGCCAGTTTCAGTGGGACGCGACACCATGGCAAAAACACCAATGCACATTAAAATAAATAATTTTTTTAAAAAAGAAATATAAACAAAAACATAATGAGCATGTAAATTGTTCATCATTGCTGATGTTACATCTTTAACCTGTTGCGTTAAATAAGCTCCATATGTCAAAATGTTCAATTTATAAGAAACTCTAATGATAACTCTAAATGTGACTATAATATAGAGACATTTATTTTACCTCTGTAAAATAAATTTTTTTTTTATATTGGGACTATGTTACTATTTTTTAGCCATGGAAGAGAGAGCAATTCAACGAGTTGAACGTAGGCGGATCTTGGCAGAAAGGAAGAAAAAACAAGAAGAAGACAAATTGGTAATAAATTCAGAATGCAAACAGGCAAGCAAAGTGATTTGTTCAGATTGCACAGGCTGGAACCTTGCTTGTCTATGCCTCCTGAGATAGTTGAGTTAGAACAACTTGGAAAGGCTTCTGGCCTACCCCTTTGAATTCAGTTTTAGGAAAATAAGGGAGGTTGTACTCAACAGCATTAGCAGAACAGAAAGGAAATGTTACAAAAGTGAATGACAGCTAGCAGATTGGAAGGTTCGCAGATAACCACAATTAGTCTGCTGTAGATAGATAGATGTCTGACCCAATGACTTTACAAAGAACAGTATCTTCCAAAGTCTGACCCACTGTCAGAAGCAAATTTTGTACCTACAAGAAAAAATTAACAATTCTGTGTGCGGTGGGCTAACCAGATTTCACATCAGACTTCCTGTTTCACAAGTAAAAGTAAGAACTGAAAATAGTAATTTTAGCATGAAAGCAGAGTGGCCATATTCATATGCAGTGTCTCCTTCCCAGGCAGGAGAAGGTCCTTTCAGAGACCCCTAAGTCACAGGGCATGTTGGTTGAGACGTCCCCTCCTTTCATAAAATGCATCCATAGTCCAGGAGCAGGACTGGCACTTGGTAGATACTTGACTGCCCCACCACAAAAGATCTCCTTTCCCACTCAGAGGAAGGCTACTAAGTTTTCTGTCTTCTAATCTCATTCAGGCTCAGCTAAAAGCCCAAGAGGAAGAACGCCAGAAAAGGGATGCTGAAGAAAAGGAAGCTCAGCTTGAGAGAAAACGAGAGGAAAAGAGGCTGAAGAAGATGGTTAGTAGAGTCTTTTATAGTAGCATATTTGGCCAGTTGCCTCTCTGTGGATGCCCATTGCTAGTGATCTGGTGGCTCTCTCTACTCAGTATTGCGTTGGCCATGGGTGTGCCGAGGGCATAGGATGCTCTCAGCAAATGTGGTGAGTGAACACTTAGAAGAAAATATGCTTCAGAGTCACTTGGAAAGCAAGTTGTTAAATGCTAGTTGAAAAGTCATGACCTTATCTTTTGGAGGAAATGTAGTGGAGGATTTGCTGTGTCATATGCTGCTCAGAACAAAAGGAGTTTAGAAGTCATACGAGGCAAACTCCTCATAGGGTTTGGAGACAGTAGAAGCATTTTCATCCTTTGCTAAATCGACATAAGAAATCTCTAAAAGCAGCTGTTTCTTCCCTTAAAAAACTGGTGAGATATTCTGAAACACATTTCCCCAACATGTGTTCTATTCCATGTCGTCCTAGTCACTCCTGAAATAGTAAGCAGTTTGGAGAAAGTGTAAATTCGGTAGTCAAATGGTTTTGGAAAATGCTGTTTAAGATAAACAAGGTTCCTTAATTAGTTGACTTCCCAGAACTTTTGACATCCTACCAGACGTTATAAGTCTTCAGAAAAGAGACACAGTATGCCAAAGTTGACATCCATATCCGACTACAGACTAGTTTTTATAAAGCACCCTGTAACATATCATAGAACAATTTGAGGTCATAGTACTATAAAGCAACAAAATAAATTTAAAAACATGCAGTATAACAAATGTGTCTCTCATATCTGTTCACTGTAGAAAACTTGAGAAATACAAAGTAGAGAGAAAATATCTGTGCTCGGCACTCAGAATTAACTCCTCTCTATTATAGCATCTTAGCATCTCTATGCTGGGCCCTTTCTTCTCTGCATCTCTCTGTTAATAGATTGGCCATTGCCTGCCTGTAGGTCTAGGTCACTGTAAACTTTTGTCTTTTTCTTTTTTAGACTCTACCATGAGCATATGCCGAATTCTTCAGGGCTGCCTAATTTATATATACAATGGCGTTCTTCACAGATCTTTGTTTGGGATTAATAGAGATTTACAGAAAAAATGTGAGGATGGTATTGTGCTGTGTGTCTTTCATCCAGTGCTACCCAGTATCACCACAAAGCATTGATTAGAAGCCAACATGAGCACATTACTGCAGACATTGTTTTTCCAAGAACATCCAGACTCCCTTTGGAATATCACATCCCTGCAGTTGTCCTGTCCCTTAGTGCCTGCCCTCTGGGCTGTGACCGTTTCTGTCTTTCCTCATTGCTCCTGACTTTTCTGAAGATTTCAGAAATGTCCCTTCATTTGCGGTTGCTGTTTTCCTGACAGTCACTCTGCACTAGTGGGTTTTTATGGTGATGCTGGGTCCCTCTTAAACGCATGGCAACCTTGTGCATGAGACCCAGATGAAGCATATCTGTTGATGTCTGCTTGATGACTGGAGTTAGCCAGTGCCAAACAGCTTTCGTCACTGTAGTTTCCAGTTTTCCTTGTCACACGTTATCCTCTGAAAGAGATTTGTTAAGCCCCAGTCTTCTCTCAAGGCAGGGGGAAGGAACAGTTCAGCTCCATACCCTCACTGGAGGAGGATCTACAGTGAATACTAGGAACTCTGTACATAAAATTGGCCGCTTCCTTCGTTTATTTATTCAGTCATCATTTATATAACTACGGATTCTTGTATATTTATTTTGTACTTTGGACAATGAAAAATACTGTTACTAACTTTATTGTTTAAATTGTGGTTTTGGCTGGCTGTGGGAGCCCTTTGAGGCTGGCTCCTGGTTAGGTGTGCCCCCATCCTTCTATGCTTTCTGAACACCTTACTCTCTGGAGTTTCTCATCTCATATTTTCACTGCCAAGCTCTAGAATCAGACATTTTTTTCAAGATGCCTTAGTTCTACATGGTATCTGAAAAGAAGGTCTGGGCACTGAGTACTAAGTTACTGCTGGGACATTCCTGATTCTGGAATGTTGGAAGACAGGGGTAGATGATATACACATACATATATAAATATATTGAGCTATGCATACACAACTGATTATAACCATTCCTTCTTATACAATTAAAGTGGACTCATATTGATGTCTCCAGCTCTAATCTAGGACCAGAGGGTTTATTATAGCCATCCATCTTGTTTGCTTGCAAATGTCCTCTCTGACAATTTGAACCTTAACTCCCATCAATTCAAATGTATATGATTTGTTATAATGAGTTCAAGGTTAGCCTGGACTCAATTCTGTCTCAATTCTGTTTCAGATCTATTAATTCATTTGGGAGCTGTTAGGCTATTGGATGTTATATGTTTCCTGTGGTTCATCATATGTTGTCATCCTTGAGTATTCCTTATATATTCAATTCACTGAGACTTTATATTATAAATGGATATTATATTTTGTCTAGTGTTTTTCTTCTACTGAGACAATCACAGAATTACTATTATTATTAAAAATGGTGTATCACACTTATTGATGTGTATAGATTGAACTGTCCTTACATTCCTGGAATAAATTTCACTTACTTGTTGTATATGATACTTTTAATGTGATCTTGAACTTGGTTTGTTACTGTTTTATTGCGGATTTAAAGTGGTATTCATCAGGAATATATTTTCTATTCTTGTATCATCTTTGTTTGGCTTTGGTTCAGACTAAGGCTGGCCTCACAAAATGGTTTGAAAGTATTCTTTCCTCTTCATTACTCTGGAAGAAAGTTGGTCATGGTGTTTATCAGAACAGAAAGCAACCTAAGTATCTAATCTGGAATCTCTTCTAGCCAACGTTTTTCATATTTTTATGCTATTAATATAAAAGTGACATTGACATAACTGAATTAAAATATGCTGTCCCCGATCTGTAGTACTTGTTCTCCATTTCTCTCTTTTCTTCTCTGACTTTAATAATAAGCATGTTTATGATCCTACCTAATCTCCTCTACTATTTGTTTTCCTTTTAAGAATATTTTTAGTGTTGTCTCTTGTTTACTAATCTCCATCCACCTTCAAATCACAGACTTCCCATATCATCTGAGAGCCTACCATCCTAGATTTCATTTCCTCTCTCCCATCAGGTTACTCCGTCATATGTATTGTATTTTGTTTGTATCAGGCTGTACTCAGTACCTTTCTGAACTGACTTACACACTTGTCTCTTAGTGGTATTAATGATAGGATTATTGGATTTTGCCTTCAATTTCTAGTGTTCTTTATTTCTTTGTACAGATCTAAATTCTTAGTCTGTGTCATATATTTATGAACTGGAGCAGTTCTGTGGGGCCGGGCTTCTGGCGGCAGAGTCCTTCAGTCTCTAACCAGCTTCCTTCCTTCCAGACAGCCTCAGTCCCCCGTGTCCTTACAGGACCTTTGCTTTGGTACAGCTTCACGAGGAGGGAGAGAGCAGAGAGCTCTCTGGAATATCTGACGAGGTTATCTACTCTTCACTGCTTCTTACATAGGTCATTTACTGACACATCAGAGGTAGGGTTTCAGCGTAAGGACTTCAGTCTGTGACAGCTGGCCTGAGGAGTCTCTTCCCTCTCCTGTCTTCATGACTGTCTCGTTGTCACCCTCATGAGTATGACTTATCTAGGTTTGGGTTGTTTGTTAGGTTGCTTGCCTTGCTACTTAGTAGTCTTAAGCTTCTTTGATACATAGTTTTGTGTTTTGTCACAGAATCTAAAATTACTTATACCCATTGTTCTTCAGATATTTCAGCTGCCTCCTCTTTTCATTCTCCAGGTTCCCAATCCTGCACGAGTTATATTTCTCAGCTGTACCAGTTTTTCACTCTCTTGTTACTTTGCAGTTACTATGACTTCCTTGCTCTAATTTTCAAGTTGCCTGGTTCTTTCTTCAGCTATTTCATCTAATAATGATGACACTGAAGGCCCTCCCCATTTCTGTTACCCCATTTTTAATGGCTAGCACTTTCATTTTGGCCCTTATGGTTTTCATGTCTACTGCATTTACCTACCTGACATTGGATGATGTCCACCTTTCCCGCTGGAGTGTCTAACATTGTTGTACATTATTTAAAATATTAAAATATTTAAGATAGCTTCATCATCTTTGTCATACCTTTGTCTTGTTCTGATGATTGTTTTATCTTTCCGTAAATTATCCTTATCTTTTGGTTTATCATATATATTGTCATTGAAAGCCAGACATTTGCTTAGAGCAATAGAAATGTAAATGTGTAGGACTTTAGGGTGAACATTTGTGTTAATCTAGGCAGGAATTGGGCTTTGTTTGATGTTTATTGTTGCTGTGGTTACTACCATTGGCTTTTGTTGTTGCTATGGACACCGGAGGCTTCACTTTTTTAGTGACTTTGGCTTTGGGCCTTCACTTTGTGCTGCTCCGCAGAGGCCATGTCCTTTCCGGTTCCTCCGGTTTTGTAACACACTGTTTGTAAGTAGGTGATGAGGCGTGTGTGTGTGTGTGTGTGTGTGTGTGTGTGTGTGTGTGTGTGTGTGTGTAGGGAAGCAGTCCCTGCTCTGGTTACATTTCCGACCCGGGCCTGCCCAGCTCTGGCTCTGGAGTTTCCCTTCCTGCTGTAGAGGTTGACCTGTTTTCTCCTCGCCTCCCTCCTTGCTCTGTGACTGCAAGCCTTTCCCTGTAGCAGTTGGTTGGTGGGGAGGCATCACATCTGGCAGACTTCCCAAAATGCCCTCCCAAGCCACAGTGTGGGCTTCCCCACTGTTCTCAGGTGGTTCCTGAAGAGAGAGCTTTCATTCTTTGGGCTGGGCTGGAGAGATGGCTCAGCAGTTAAAAGCACTGACTGTTCTTCCAGAGGACCCGGGTTCAATTCCCAGCACCCACATGGCAGCTCACAACTGTGTGTAACTCCAGTTCCAGGGGATCCAACACCCTCACAGACATACATGCAGGCAAAGTACCAAAATAAAAGTAAATAAAGTTAAAAAAAAAACAACAAAAAACAAGAATGCTCTGTTGCTAGAGTTTTCCTGCCTTGCCCACAGTCAGGACAAATCTCTGTCACCCACCAGTCCCACAGCCGCTCAGACCCAACCAAGTAAACACAGAGACTTATTTTGCTTACAAACTGCATGGCCGTGGCAGGCTTCCTGCTAACTGTCCTTATCTTGCTAACTGTGCTTTTATCTTAAATTGATCCATTTCCATACATCTATACCTTGCCATGTGGCTGGTGGCTTACTGGCGTCTTCACATGCTGCTGGTCATGGCGGCGGCTGCAGTGTCTCTGGTCATGGCGGCGGCTGCAGCCTCTCCTTCTGCCTTTCTGTCCTTTTATTTCTCCTCTCTGTTAGTCCCGCCTATCTTTCCTGCCTAGCCACGGCCGATCAGGTTTTATTTATTAACCAATCAGAGCAACTTGACATACAGACCATCCCCCAGCACAGCCAAGTGCAGACCATCTCAAACACCTGCACTCAGGCCCATGGTCCTAATCATCCTCTATACGGACCTGCTGGGTAACGCCACAAAGAACCCAAGAAGGGCTCCCACAGGACATACAGAACATCCCACAGCAATGCTCTGGCAGATTTTGGGCTGTTGCTCCTCTCTTCTCTCCTCTTTCCCAGCCAGACTATTCAAGAAACTTCCTCTTGTGTCGTTATCGTCTTTGTGAAAACATTTGGGGTTCGTAGAGGAAAAGTTTGCAGCCGAGTGGGAGCACTCTCACGAGCCTGACCCTCTCCTCACAGTAGTTTACGTTCACCTTCCCCGCCCCACACCAAGCACATCACCAAAATTTCTACTTTAGCAATTCAGTATCTGGCATTTCTGCATTCTCAGGTAAGCAGATGCTTCAGTGCCTCCTAATAGTGCCTGTCTCTCCAGTTTGGGGGATGATTACATGCCTCAGATCAGTTCACAAAAAGACATTAGTTCTGTTCTCTGTCCGGTTTTCTTGTTGGAAACAAAATGCTTGAACAGACCAAAAATGATTGAAAAAACTATTACTGGCCAGGAGAGTGTTTTATCTCACTCTACCAAGCCCAAAGCTTGCCTTTTTAGAAATGCCAGCCCATAGCAACAGACACAAAGCCTTTTCATGTAGACTGTCTTCCATTCAGTCTGTAACCACCTACATTGGAGATCAGTGCATCTGCAGACTGGCTGTGACTGAGCCTTCCTTGAGAGTGATTGCAGCTCTAGAGTGTGTGTGGCGGATGTCTCCTTCCCTTCTGTGTGAACATGCTGTGCACAGTGTGCTCACCCACTCTGTTTGTCACGTGGTCTTAATGCTTTTGAGGCATCATATTCTGTATAAGCAGTGCCTGGCTGCCTTGTAGACTTCATATAGCTGACCCAGATACACAGCCTCCAAGGCCATGGTAATGTTATTCCTATGGACAACAAAAACTTGGTGGCACTCTTGAACCAGTGCCTGCTGTGACTTCTCTGTCAGTTGCATGTGGCTAGCTGTCTTTGAGGGAAATCTGGTTTAACTTCTGCTAGTTGGCAGGGTTTTTTTTTTTCTCTTTGAATTTATCAGCAGACTGTCCAGTAGAGGTACCATATTTTCTAATTAGATAGATGAGTAACCCTACTGTTGCTATGACAGATTGTCTCAGGGACAGTCACATATATTTCTCTGCATACAGAATATAAGATGAGCCCAGTTGTGTGTGTGGAGAAGGATGTGTGTCTTAGTTTGGTTGTCTGTTGCTATGATAAAAGACCATGACCAAAAGCAGCTTGGGGAAGAAGTGGTTTGGCTCCTCAGGGTTACAGACCATCATTAGGGAAGCCAAGGCAGGAGCTGAAGCAGAGATGATGGAGGGGTGCTGCTTACTAGCTTGCTCCCCATAGCTTGCTCAGCCTGCTTCCTTATAGGCCACCTAGGACCACTTGCCCAGGGGTGGCACTGCCCACAGCTGGCTGGGCCCTCCCACATCTAATTAAGACAGTGCCCAGTGACTTGCCTAAGGACATCTCAGTTGAAGGTCTTCTTCCCAAAGAACTCTACCTAGTGTCAAGCTGACGAAAGACCAATTAAGACAACATGCAATGCTAAGTTTTAGGACAAAGGAAGTCTTAGGAAAAGACCGTGATCAAGTGGCCATCTGTATTCAGGAGGAAGGGGTATAAGGGTTGGGCATGGCTGCAGCTTCCTGTTTCTGTGGCCCTTACGGGAAGCTATGTCAAATAAGACAGTAAGAGTGCCATTCATGGGTCTTACAACATGACCTAGAAATAAAAACATTCTCTTAGAGTCCCGTTGTTTTTTTGTCAGATGCATATTTTGTAAGACCATTTATCAAGCTTTTTTTATGGTTATATAAATATGCTTTTTTTTTCAGGGTGGGAGTTGATGGCCACTTTGGAGCCTGCTTTGTAGACCAGGCTGGCCTTGAACTCAGAGATCCACCTGCCTCTGCCTCCCAAGTGCTGGGATTAAAGATGGGTACCACCATTCCCAGCTTATAAATATGCTTTTAACTACTGGGAAATTGACATCTGTTATTGAAAAACATAATTTTATCAGAGAAAATGAAGTCTTCTGTGTTTAGCAAACACACTAGCTCATTGGGTAAATACCTGTGAAATATTTGCTTATGTGCTAGTCTTTGCTCTGGGTGTTGGAACAGAGCAGTAAGGACAGACATCATCCCTGCCTTTAGAAATCATCTATGCCAGTTTGGAAAAGAGGTAATGAATGGGTCAACATCTAAAGAGGTAGGCAGGGGAGAATAATGCGGGAAACAAGAAGGGAGAACTGTTCTGAGCAGATGATATTTGAGCTGCTGGATACAGAGGAGGCCCCACAAGACACACATAGACGTGTCAGATACCTGTTAGGCACACAGCTGGATAGAGAAGTTTGCACATCAAGCTGGAAGTACGGAACCTTGGAATTTCAAATATGTCAATGTTTTTAATGCTCTGGAAGTGACTAGACTCAACCTGGCAGGGGGTTGTCTGGACAGAGATGAAGTTTGGGGCCACAGCCTAGGATATGTGAATATTTTCCCAGAGGATCCAGGAGAACTTACAATCAGAACAGTGAGAGAAGTGTTTGCGTTAGGGGAGGAGGGCTGGTGGGCCGAGTGCGGTATGACTGAGCTCAGTTCTGAAGGAGACAAGTGGCTCTTTGACTTGGAAACATTGGCATCATTCATGACCTGGATGAGAGTGCTTTCTGTGACGACTTAGGGAAGGTGCCACTTTCCAGTGGATTGAGACTAGGTGAGGAACAGAGTGTACATTGAAATCCCATGGATCAAAGAGACTTTTTGTTGATGGTTGTATTTTGGTTTTATTTGCTTTTATTTGTTTTCAATTGCCATATACCAGCATGTTTCTATCTTGATTTCCGTGATCCAGCATGAAGAAATCAGTGTTAGAACAGTGTTGAGTGCCCTATACTCCCCTTAACATACTTGTAATCCTTGACCTTTCTATTAAGACAAAGTGGCTGATACCAATGAACATTTAGATAATTGTTTTTGTACATCATTTGTAATTATGCAAAATATAATTTAAATCAGAGACAAACTCTTATTTAATATATTGCTTTTTTAACCTGAGGGAATTATGTGCTCTTTAAAACCCCACTGTGTAGATTCCTAATATAAATGCTTTCTCAAAACAAAATCATACCATGTCAGTGTCTCAGCAGAGTGGATACAGCTCAGCTGCCATTCACTTCCTATACAAAGAAGTACGTGCAAGCAGGTTCTTTAGCCTGAGCCCAAAGGCTTCTCCAAAGGGAGGAGACGAGGCGCTGATGTCTGTCTGCAAGCCTCCACTGATGCAGGGAGATTCCCTGCATATGGAAACAACCCATTTCTGTTTCCCCGTTTCTTCTTTATCCTCCTTTACTACTCATGAAGAAGTGCTTATCTACAGGTTTTGTATCTGCCTCCCATTCAAGAAGGATCTTGAGTGTCTGAAATAAAGATTATAAAGCTAATTTTGATGTAATTTCCTAAAGAGTGTGGACATTTCGTTTTCAGGAACTTGCAGCTAGGTAATTGAACTGGAAGATGAGAACGCTCTCCCTTTCCTGTTAGAAATATTCTGATCCTGTTTCTTTCTCTCTTTCCCTCCCTTCCCCTCTCCCCTCTTCTTCTTGCACAAGGCTCGGGCACACAGAGTAGCTTGTTGAATTAACCATTTCACCACTGTCCTTCTCTGACACGAAATGAGAGAATGAAAAAGGAACTTGAGTGTAGTCGTGTTTCTGCCCGACAAGTGAGCGCTGAGGGCAGCCTGCAGTCTGCTTCTAAAGCAGTGCCTTGCTGTCCTCACTCTAGTCCAGCAGACTTTTCCCTCCCACCTTTATACAGGCGGCTTTTGTTAGAAGACAGAAAATAAATGCAGAATGGCATTTGTAGGGTACGCTGCTACATTCCTGTCATCTTTCTCAGGCACAGCACTCACAAGTGTATGCCTTCTGGGAAGAGCACAGGGTGTCTTTTTTCTCAGGGAACCACAGGGGTAGTTAATCTTTCTGCTCAGGACAGAGAGCTGCGTGATGATGATAAATACTTTTAGCTTGTATCTGGACTTACTGTTGACTTAGGAAAGAAAAACAACTCAGTGGTAAGAATATTCTTCCAAGACTTTAAATGGGGTTGTGATTTGACTGACCATCATTATTTAAATACAAGGCTCTACGTCATAACCCTAGTGGAGGTTTGCATTGCTGGATTTTCTGTAATAAGAAGGAAAACTTCCTGATTTCTTTCTTGAGTAGATGTTTTGACTTTTTAGTAATGAGGGGAGTGGAGCTCATTTCTATGAACAATATTGAATAAACCTAAGAATACATAGCTTGGATTGATGTAGAGCTCATGACCACCTTTCCTGACCCTTTCAGCGAATCCTTTAAATATATATGTGTATGCATATATATTTATATATATTCCAGAGTTCATTATAATTGGCACACTATTTAGTGGTTACATGGTAAATTCATTGACTTTTTGTTTAAATGAAGTTCTTTTAGTTAAGTTCTTTAGTTAAGTAGCTACCTGACACTGCCCACTAGTAGTTCATTGAACAGAGCAGTCGTAAGACCTGGCTCAGGGTCACTCAGAAGGGATGAGGCCCCATCTACTCCATCAGGAGGTGCTGTGAAATTGCATTGCAAAGAGTACATAATGCTGTTTTTAAGGGTTTTTTTAATCATGGAATTTTCTTTCTTTCTTTCTTCCTTTCTTTTTTTTTTCTTCCCCCACCCCCCAGAAAGAACTAGAGAAACAGAAGAGAATTAAGAGAAATCAAGAGTTGGAAGCAGTAGCTAAAGATCATTATGAAAAGGTCTTGCTAAAGAAAAGAGGCCTGGAGCCCTGGAAGAGACTGAGAATGCAAAGCAAGCAAAGCATTGAGGTATGCCATCATGATAGCAAACCCCGAATTAGAAAATAGGCCTTTCACAGAGAGCATGAGCACCATGAAAGTCAGGGTTAGGGTAGAGGGAATTTAGTGCTCACCATCGTGATAGCAAACCCCAAATTAGAAAGTAGGCCTTTCACAGAGAGCATGAGCACCATGAAAGTCAGGTGTTAGGGTGCAGGGAATTTGGTGCTTTTAAAAGCCAGAAAGAGAACTGGCTTGAGTATGTATACTTCTCTGTTTTGAATACGAGTTTAGATTTGGTTATCTAAATACTTGTAATTTAATGGGTTCTGGAAACTAGAATGGTTTTATTAGAGATCACACTGCAGGGGACTAGAGGTGACTCAATTTTGGCATGGTTTACAACAGAGAGAAAGTAAGAAGGGTGGCTGGATCTCTGCTATGATAAAGTCCATAGACAACCCCAAGATCTCAGTGCATTATAACTGATTCCCATTTCTCAGGAGTCTGCAGGCCAGCTGTAGCTTTAGTTCCAGTCTCTCCCCAACCCTAAATACGGGATCCAGAGCTACTCAGGTTGTGCCTTCCACCTAGCAATTAACCAGCAGATGGACCACGCCCTGTTGTGAACCTCTGGTGTCCATCACCAGGACCTTGCTCGGGAGTCCTTCTCTCCAAGGTCCTTGTGATCTCTATCAGAAAAGAGTGTACAGTAGGAACATGGGTAAAGTTTATTGCAGAATGAAATGGAGGACACCCCCAAGGGGTAGGAGTGTACCATGACCAAGAGACCATATCGTTGCACTTCACATTTTAAGGCAGGTATTCTATTTCTAAAGTATCTAGAAAAAGCAGCTTCTCCTGAGGGACTTGGTCTGTCCAGTTGAGTGAGTGACACACCCAGTTGTATAACTCAGCTTCAAGAAGGCAGTGGTGTATCTTTCTTCTTTATTAGACAGCCTCCAAATAGAGAGTAATCTTTGAGGTTGAGAAGACAGTTATCAGGCTGGAGAAGTGGTTCACTGGTTGAGTGCTGGCTGCTCTTGCAGAGATCTAGAGTTCATTTCCGAGCATCCTTGGGTGCTCTCAACTGGTTGATTTTTCAGGCTCCAAGGAATCTAATACCTTCTTCTGACACCCACATACATGTAGCGGTAACGCCCGCATTACCAATACCCGTTTACCATGTCTGAGCGAAGGGCTTCGGATTAAAAATAGAGACAAGAGACAGCGAGTCATTCGCCATGGCTGAATGCCCAATACCCTTTATTGAAAGAGGGAAGAAACCTTAAATACAGGCTTACAACACAAATGGAGGATCCCCGGAGGGCAGAAGTTCGCTACCAATGGTCTACATTCCAGACCCAATGTTCTATATTCTTGCATCTAAGTTGTTAACGCCCAATATGCAGCATACGCAAACAAGGAACTTCCCTTAAGCCTTCAGAAGGGTGGATACCGGCAGGGAATCTGAATAGGGAGGACATCTGGTCAAGGTCAGCAAGCAAGGCGGCAGCCACTCACAGTCGGGGGCCAGGGCCCATGGCACCCACACTTAAATAGACAAATAATGAAAATAAAATAAATCATAGACAACTTTATTAGTGACATTCTGGTCATTTGGAATGTCATGTCTCTTCCCAGGGTGGAAGGTATATTCAGACCCCATTCTTTTGAGTGATAATCAGCCCCATAGCTCTAGGCTATGGTTTTATAAGCTGCGCATTATGAGGTGACCTCCAGGCTGCTAATCTAAGTAGCTACCTAATACTGCCCACTAGTAGTTCATTGAACAGAGCAGTCATAAGGCCAGGCTCAAGGTCACTCAGAAGGGATGAGGCTCCATTTAGTCCATCGGGAGGTGCTGTGAAATCGCATTGCAAAGAGTACATAATGCTGTTTTTAAGTACGGCAGTCACTCTGCCACAGGGATCCTTGAAATCTAACACCAATGAAATATCTCCAATTCCTGAATACTTACCCAGGACATAGAACGGGGTGTTCAAGTCAATGACCAAGCAGTTCAAAACAGATGCAGCGTTATTCTGCCTTTGACTGCCAGGTTTGGATGTGTCACAGAGCCCCTGTGATGGCCCTGATGGCCAGTAAATACCATTTCCAGTAGATCTGCTTGAATAAACCTGTTCACAGTGCAGGTGGCTAGATGAGACCTAGGGAAATGTGTCACTGTCTAGAGAGGTCTGCAAAGAGAAGGGTCTTTTCTCCTGTCACAGGAACATAACAGTCTCTTTTTCATACATAAAAGCTGACTTGTATTTATTTGTGATGATACTCTCAGTCTCTTAAATTGGTAAGACATTAAAATATTCATCATGTTATTTTTGAATCAATGGTTTTGTGGTTTATTGATAATGTCTAAATTTCAATCCTGGTGACAGTTCATTCTACAAAACTAATTGAAAGTATCGGCACTTCCTCAATTAGACAGTGGTTAAGGACATAATAAAGAGCCATCTGTTATGGACTTGCTGTCCAAGTTCCAGGAGAGCAAACCAAGAGCACTGCCAGCCACCCAGTCCAGAGGTTAGCGGACATGAAGTGATGTCGTGGAAAGTGCTCATTCCATTTCCACAGCCAGCCAGTGTCTGCAGCCTCCAGCGAGTCAGGACTGACCGAGCGTGAATGATGTGAATCTGTGGCCTCCACAGGACAAGGCCAACAGCCACAGTCTTTTAGGACATAGACTATAGGCAACTCAAGATGCTTCTTGTCCAGGAACTACTAAACCTGCTCTATAGTACCATTTCCCTAGTTATGTATGCTCCCTTCAGGGATTTAAAATTTAAGGAATAAATTCCTCTTTGCATTAAAAATGTTTTCAGGTAGCAGAAGAACATTACTCTTTGGCACTACAAAGAAAATGCCTGCTCAGTTGGTTCCAGTACAGCCAGGAAACTCTGGCTACAAGGACAGCCCAGGCCGATGAGTTGTATTCCCAGCTGTTGTGTAGAAGAGTCCTCCGAAGCTGGCTCCGGGTAAGGCCGCAGGGAAAGGACTTTAAATACATCTCCTTGAGCCACATGGGCTGACACCTGCCCGTGACCTCAGCATTTGGGAAGCTGAGGCAGGAAGACCACCACGAATCCAAGGCTAGTCTAGTGGATATAGTGAGACCTTGCCTCCGAAAACCAAAACTAAATAATCCATCTCCCTGCTCAACTCCCCATAAAACACAAAACGGCCTTCATAATGCCATACTCACTTTTGTTTTTCAAAACATCGAGCCATGAATCCAGTTCCTCCCTTTGGAATGTTGTCAGCTTTGGTTAGTATAGACTCCCAAGCACATGTCACTTTCCCCAGAAAGCGTATGTTTATATTGTGGTGAATCCTTACTTCGGCTTTTGTTTTTTATAGTCCTTGGGTTTTTTTGTCACACAGTACTTAGGATGATTTTGGAAACCTCGCCTGTCAATCTTACACCTGTTTGTGCTCCTGAACTGCTGTTCCTGTTATAGCACACTGCAGAAGATATTACCTTGGCTGCCTTGTTATCTCTCAGCCTTTGGCATCCTTTATTATTTTGTTTTGTATGCTCTGTTTTGGTTCTCTCTCATTAGTTTTTGTTTTGTTTTGTTTTTACTCTATTTGTTTACCATGTCTCATTTTCACTTGTGTCTTCACTCACTAGTATGTCAATGATCTGGAGAAAGAAGTAAGAAAACTCTGTGTCCACGTACTGCAGAAGAAGGTTTTCAGGGCATGGTTTAGCACGGTCAGGGATCTGAAGATCGAATCCCAGGGAAAACTTGAGACTGCAGCGGAACATTGTGACAGGTAAGGCTTGGGAACACTGTGACAGGTAAGGCTTGGGAACACTGTGACAGGTAAGGCTTGGGAACACTGTGACAGGTAAGGCTTGGG